TCTGGGTGTGCTCAAGCCTCCAACCTTTTGGTTAGCAGCTGAGTACGTGAACTATTTGCACCACCCAGGTTCTCTCAGAACCTGCTAGGAAAGGGAAATGAATACTGGGTAGCCAGAACATAAACAGTCCCTAGATCTTATAGTGGAGCATGGACTTAGAGCTAGGCAGCCCTAAGGTGTTTTTTTGTTTTAAATAACAGTTTTGTTGAGATACAGTTCACATACCATGCAATTCACTTATTCATAATGCACAATTCAGTGATTTTTAGTTTATTCACAGAGTTACACAGCCATCACCACAATCAGTTTTAGAACCTTTTCATCACCCCAAAAAGAAACCCCTTTAGCAGTCATCCTTCATTTCCTCCCACCCCTGAGCAACCACTGATTTACTTTTTGACTCTATAGATTTGCCTATTCCGAACATTTCATATGAATGGAATCAGATAATACGTGTTTTTTTGTGACTGGCATAAGGTTTATCCATGTTGTAGCATGTATTCGTACTTCATTCTTTTTTATTGCCAAATAATATTTTATTATATGGAGATACCACATTTGGTTTATCTGTTCATCATTTGATAGGCATTTGTGTTGTCTCCACTTGTTTGCTATCATGAATAATGCCGCTGTCAACATTTGTTTGCAAGTTTTTGTGTGGAGATATGTTTTCATCTATCTCAGGTATATGCCTAAGAGTAGAGTTACTGATCATGTGGTAACTGTGTTTAACCTTTTGAGGAGCTGCCAGGCTGTTTTCTCAGGTGACTCCACCACATTATATTCCCACCAGCAGTATATGAGGATTCCGAATTCTCCACATCCTTGCCAGTACGTGTTATTATTAGCAGACCTAAGTTTGAATCCTGGTTCTAGCGTTTCTTGTGTTGTGACTTGGGGCAAAACAGTTAAATCTGAGGATCTGTTTTGTCGGTTATAAAACAAGTGTAAAATACCTAACTTGAAAGGATGTAAAAAACATAAAGTGTGTAAGTACCTAGCACACTGCTTGGGCACATAGTAAGCATTAAACAGTTTTTAGTTTCCTTCTTCCTTTTCCTCCTTCCTGACAGCACCCCATGATTTTCATTTGGGTTACAAAGCTGTCTGAGCCTGACTTGAATTCTCTTGCTTCGTATTATCTAATTTTCTTAGGAAACAGTGGTAGGAGACAGTGTGCATGTGTTGAATTCTCTGACTGCTACTCATAATGGCCACCATATGGGGCAGAATATCAGTTAAACTTAACTTACAGATAGGTGAACAGACTAGCCTACTTTGTTAAAGCCTTAGTTTTGAACAATCTGGTACAGTGGTTAAGTGCTCAGCTGCTAACCAAAAGGTTGGCAGTTCAAATCCACCAGCCGCTCCTTGGAAACCCTATGCAGCAGTTCTGCTCTGACCTGTAGGGTCACTATGAGTTGGAACTGACTCAGTGGCACCTAACAACAACAACTATCAGAGAGGGCAAACAAATAGAAGAATAAATGGCCTTAATCCGAGTCAGTCAGAAGGTAAGAGAAAAATGGGAATTAAGATATCCCCACTTTAATTCTGCCCTGCTTCACTCAGAAGTTTTAGAGAACTTTCCTCACCAAGTCTTTCAGACACCCTCCAGTCCTATGTTTTTGAATGCTATAGAACTGAGTAGCATGCAGGTGAACTCTTAAAAACCACAGAAGAAAATTAACCTATGGGGGTAATGGGAGCCTTCAGAACTACTGAAGATGAATTGAATTTACCCAAAGTAGGTGGAAGGAGGTTAAGACCAAAGGGTTGGAATCAAGATTTTCTTTGAGCTGCTTTAAAGCAGCGTATTTAATGCTGGCTGTTAGGTACAAGACAACAGAATCTTGTCACTGGAGCATTTTCATAGTTCTGGCATTTATGCTACTCTGACCATATGGAAACCCATCTGAGCCCTGTAATTGGGTTTGTAGGTAGAATGAGTGTCATGGTAGCAGATGGTTGTCTTGATGCTTACAACATAGAAGCTTCTGCGATAACTGTTTAAAGTGCTAGAGATATTTCTTTTGGCCATTAGCCTAGGCATAGAAGGAACGAACTATGTTGGTGATTATGAATCTGGTTTCTAATTCATTTTCCTAATTTTCTAGTTTTAGAAATTAAAAATTACACATCATTTTCCTTTGACAGTGAATAATTGCATTTTTTCAACCATTCATTCATGTTTTACTTCTAGGTCAGTAAGGTGAATGGACTGGGGCTTTCCTTAATCTGTTTTGTCAGTGTCAACAGGACACTTGTGATTGAGTAAATAGCATTTTTCAGCTTTAAAAAGGTTAAAGATGTCCCTTATTTTTAAGACTGACTGTTCTGGTTCTTGTGATCTTCATAACAAGTGTTAGTGTGATAATTCTGTTTTTACAGTGACCTGGTGTATTTTGCCAAATGATAAAGCACGTTGAATTTTTATGCATCAAACTGAACCATTCAGTAGTGCTTTTTCACAAACATGATAATACTGATCTACCATCACTAGGGCATATGCTGTAATGTGTATTTTAGTAACGATTACTGAAAGTTGCTGTCTGTTTTGAAGCTGAAAGACAAAAATCTTTCCTCCTTTCATTTTGAATTGTGTGGAGGATTTTGAATGTAAACGAACATTTTGAAAGTATTTCTAGGATTTCTAAAGTAACCTTTACAGATGGACAGTTCTCTCTCAAATTTAGGAATGTAAAAACATATAATTACTGAAAATTATTATATTTGGTCTTTTATTAAATATGTGTTAAATTTCATTTGCATGTCAAGGAATTAGTGCCAAGAACCAGGTTGCAAACAATTTCTGATTTATTTGCTCTTTCCTGAATCTTTTAAACTCTTCGTTGCTTTATATTTGACTACTAGTGTCATGCCTGCACTATGCTCCTTTCAGCCCTAGTCCACAATTTGCCTGCCATAAGCAAGACTAATAGTGTAGAAGGCCCTGAATCTATCTTTCTCTTATTCTGTGATGGGGAATGATAATACCTCTCTGGAAGCAGAAGTGTGCTTGGCTCTTTTATTTAATAGCTATAGTTTCCTTTGCCCTCAATGTGTAGGAATCACAAACTGACAACATAAACTTTTATAAAAACCCTATTTTATTACTTTTAGGAATTTATTTGAAACAGTATATGAACACCTGTTCTAAAACATCTTCATCTAAAAATCATCATTTTAAATGTTTCTCCTTTTAATTTTTAACATGAGAAGGGGAAAGATGGTCTTATAAGAAAAAACAGATTCTTTCCCCCCAAATCTGTGAAGAGTAGTTTCCAGGTGTTTGGTGTAATGGTAGAAGTGGCAGGCAGCTGCTGCCACTGTAGCTTGTACTAAGCTATTGCAATTTTTTTTTTCTTTATGACCAAGGCATAGGTTTCACAATGACTAGTTTGGGTTAGGATCCAGTACTTTACTATAACACCAACAGACCTACCTGATCCTTGAAAGAAGTCTAAATTTGGGACTAATTACTACTCTTATCTAATTTGAGCCAGCTTATAAAACCTGAATCACCTAGAGTCTGATAGTTACTCTTTTTGTCTCTGAAATGTACCTACTTCACTGAGTCATTATATTATATTATACTTCAGAATTAGAAGTGAGGAAGCACTAGCCAGCTGGCCTATGAAGTTAAATTTGGAGTGACAGTGTATTTTTTTGAGTTGATATTTAACCAAAGGATTAGGTAGCAGCCTGGTTATTACATAGACGTAGAGTTATAAAGACTATTTTTTGTTTCATTTTTTTAAGAATTTTTGGAGTGTTAAGACCTTAATTTTTTTCGGATGAAATATCCTCCTAATACTATCTCCTAGTATCCTTTTCAGACTGTGATCTTAGAACTATCATAAAAGGGTGGGGGAAACCTATTACTAAGTGACTTGAGTGTCTTTTGGATGGAGTGGTACTGTCATTTGTCCATTAGAAAATTTTTAACTGGTGAGCATTGCCTGTATGTTCTGCTTCCTCCCTTTGTACCTGTTCACCCTTTTTAATTTATCTCTGTATAAAACCAAAACCAAACCCATTGCTGGTGAGTTGATTTCAACTCATAACAACCCTACAGGACAGAGTAGAACTGCCCCATAGGATTTCCAAGGGGTGGCTGGTGGATTCGAACTGCAGACCTTTTGGTTAACAGCCGAGTTGTTAGCCACTGTGCCACCAGGGCTCCTATGTCTGTATATGTGTATTTAATTTTTAGTAACTGTTAAGAATCCTTTGCTGTTGTCTGGGAAATTTGTCCTCGGGTTAATAAGAAATATTCTATAAAATGCACATGACAAAGTAAGCTGAAATACAAAAATGAGAAGTCACCGTCAGTGATATGACCATGGATTGTGGTTACTGGCATAGAAGTGAGCACATTTCAGTCAAAGAAGGTGGCTGTGAGACATGGACATTAAAAGTTTATGTAATATAATAAATGGCAAATACGACGTCAAGTCAAACTTTTCCAGCCTGTTCCTGTTTTGCACAGGAATTAAGTTGTCCAAGTTTCAATTTTTCACTGTTGGCTTACTAGTCTCAAAATATGATATATATATGTTTTTGTGTATTGTTTATGCCATTTCCCCGGGTTTTTATTGTGAACTGTCCCTTGTCGTCTGTCCCCCCCCCCCATCCCCCAGTATATTCAAGTCCTATTTATGGGTCAGCCAAGGTCCTCCTCTTTCTTTAAGCCCTCCCATATTGTTTATGCTCGGCTTCCATACTCATGCACTCGTGCATGCACACACCCACACGCACTTTTTGTTACACTGGGATACAGTTTAAAATGTATTCCATGAGCCGTTATAGTAAATATTTGTCGATAATGATGGTGATGTTGACTGGTCCTGCTAACTTACTTGGTTCTCATGTAAAATGTAAATGTAGAACACTTCAAAGTAATACTAGAGAGATATCCTTCAGTGTATTTCAGAGAAGAATTTGTTTTTGTACTGTTTTTATTCATAAGCCATTTTGTGTTATCTTGTCTCTTTTAGGAGGAGAGCATTCCCATTGCTTTATCTGGTAGGGATATCTTAGCTAGAGCAAAAAATGGAACAGGCAAGAGCGGTGCCTACCTCATTCCCTTACTTGAACGGCTAGACCTGAAGAAGGACAATATACAAGGTTAGTTGAAGAAAGTCTTGTTTATTTAAACTAAAAATGGCAATTTAAACTTAGAAGTTATATACAAAATACTATCTTCTTTTAGTCAGAGTTTACATAAATCTGGAATTCATAGTCATCCTTTCTTTTTCACAGCTTTTGACCCAGTTGTCTTGTAAAAATGATCCCTACTTTTTATGAAGAGATTTTGTTTTCAGAGTAGTTTAACATGATATGCAGATTCTTTAAAATTATTTTAATGTTTTTGGTAAAAATATACACAGCAAAACATAACACCAGTTCAGCAATTTCTACATGTACAATTCAGTGGAATTGATTACATTGATCGAGTTGTGCAAGCATTCTCACTATCCTTTTCCAAATTATTCCACTACCATTAAAATAAACTCACTGCCCCAAATTATTCCACCACCATTAAAATAAACTCACTGCCCCCTAAGCTTCTCATCTAACCTTTTGAGTTGCTGTTGTCAGTTTAATCCCATCTAAGTAATTCTTTAAAAGAGCACAGTGCTCAAGGCATTCTTTACTAATTAAGCTAAATTGTTATTTGGTTTGAAGATGATTTCAGGGCATTGTTTTCAGCTTAACAAGGTTTAAGGTTTAAAGATTTCCTCAGGACAATATATTCAGGGGGTCATCCAGCCTCAGTGGCTCCAGAAAATCTGAATTCCATGAGAATTTGAAATTCTGTTATATATTTTCCCCCCTTTTTATCAGGATTCTTCTATAGAATCTTTGATCAAAAGGAGAAACAACCTTTTCTGTTTAAAGGCTTGTGGTTTTGGGATTTTAAGAGCTTAGACATTGGGGAAGAAACAGATTTCTAGAGTTGTACCCAGAGTAAACTAATAGCATTAAGTTTTCATCTCTAGAGCCTTTTCTTAAATTTTAACTTTTCTTGATCTATAATTTTTGCTTCTTCCAACTTTGCTTTACCTACTTTCATATGATATAAGTAGAATTTGGGAAGGAGTTTCCTAGTTGGGTGTTTTAAACTGGTGGAATCTCTTACTGTTATGCTAATTTAATTAGGACATCTTAGAAATATTAGGCTAATTTTTTTTTTTTTTTTTTGAGAATATACACAGCAAAAACACACCAATTCAAGTTTCTACATGTACAGTTCGGTGACATTGATTACATTCTTTGGGTTGTGCAACCATTCTCACCCTCCTTTTCTGAGTTGTTCATCCCCCATTAACATAAACTCACTACCCCCCTAGATTTCTTTCTGTTTTTTCAAGGTGCTGTTATCAGTTTGCTCTCATATAGATAGATCTTAAAAGAGCACAATGCTCAAGGTTTGAAGATTATCTCAGGGCAATAGTTTCAGGGCTCCAGAAGAGTCTAATTCCATGAAATTTTGAAATTCTATTCTGTATTTTCCTCCTTTTGATCAAGATTCTCATATATGTTGATCCAAATGTTCAGTAATGGTAGCCAGGCACCATCCAGTTCTTCTGGTCTCATGGCACAGGTTAATAAACTTTAAGCTAATGGTTGCCAGCTTGAAAAACCTATTAAAGATTTATAATTAAAAAGAGTACAGTATTTGATATGGCATTATTGCTGAGGAAATATCTAAAATCTGGAACAGTAAAATGGATTCTTTTTTAAGGGAGTTTATTCATTTGATTTTTTAAAATATCTGTTAGGTGTATTACGATTCATCTTTTTACTATTTCTCAGTTTCTAGATGTTCAAATATGTTGTTTTTTTCCTATTTTCTCTATTCCTTTATATTCCAGCAATGGTGATTGTTCCCACTAGAGAACTTGCTCTACAGGTCAGTCAAATTTGCATCCAGGTCAGCAAACACATGGGAGGGGCCAAAGTGATGGCAACTACAGGAGGAACCAATTTACGGGATGACATAATGAGGCTTGATGACACAGGTAGGAAATTACTGATATAAGGAGCCATAACTCTCGTCATTTCAGTTACAGGTGCTTCCTTTAATAACTTATCAGAAATTATTAAAAATTAACAAGGAACAGAGAAAAACACTGCAGTAGAAAAATGAATAAAGAAAATGAATGCTTATCTAATGGGGGAGGGTACAAATTGATAGTAATACTTGAAAGGATAGTCAACCTTACTAGTAATGAAAGAAATGTAAATAAAAACAATAAATTGGTATTAATTTTGCCTATCTAATTGGTAAGGCTAAAAAATATTAGTACTAATAACATGGGTTTGTGGAGAAGTAGGTTCTCTTTCCACATGGGGGTATAAATTGATATATTCTCTGTGGTGGGCAATTTGGCAGTATATTTCAAAATTATAAACGTGTATTCTGAAGAATGTATTTTAAAGAAATGGGCAAGTGCAAGGTTGTATGTACAAGGTTGTTCACTACAGTGGGGTTTATAGTACTGAAAAATTTGAATGACCTGAACGTACCTGATATACCGCTATACCTTGTGGTATTAGTCTGCATGGGTTTTTACATAACCATTAAAGAGTGAAGTTGATATGTATTAGTTTTCCTGGAGAGACCTCCATGGTATTATATTGAGTGAAAAAAGGAGGTAATGAAACAGCAAGAAAGAGATGACTTGGAAAATTATATGTCTGTATCTGTATAATAGTTACTATTTGATTGCTTGAATTACTTGATATATTCTTGATATTGCACAGTTCTGTGAAATGATTCTCATTTGATCCTTTAACAATTTTCTGAAGACCATTGTTGTAGATTAGAGGCATTACTGTTGTGTCAGAGGCTTGGTATGCCTTCCATTATTCATTGGGGACTGTTCTAAGACAAGGAAGTATGCCCCCTATTTGGAGGAGGTAATTTGGGAAGCTGCCACCCAGTGTAGAGGTAAAAGAAACAAATACTCTCTAGCGAATTTTAGGTGAAGTGGAAATCCATCTTCTAAAACACAGCTTTGTGCCCCTTTGTGTTATTTCTATCTATGCAACAAAGTTTCTGATAAAATAAGTATATGATAAACCTTTTCTGGATTCTTTTTGCCCAAGTTTAAGTTAATGAAAACGTATGTTTTCTATATCTTGTGTAGTGCATGTGGTGATAGCTACCCCTGGGAGAATCCTGGATCTTATCAAGAAAGGAGTAGCAAAGGTTGATCATGTCCAGATGATAGTATTGGATGAGGTAATGTCTCTTCATTTGGAAAGATTTTATTCTGTACTTTGCTTATGACTGCCAGTGAATGAAACAAAAGCTGTTTGTGTTTATGACCTTCTAATAAACACACAACTCTTGTCACTTCTAACCAATCTACTTACGAAACATGTCTTGCCCTTCAAAGGCAATAGATGACAGGCATTCATAGGAGTTCAGCCTTGTCTATTTTTCTTAGGGATGCAACTAATCTAGGTTTTATTTTTATTTCTCAAGAAAAGGAGTTACTGAATAAGCCAAATGCTTTATATGTCTCTCTCCATTTAGTGATACATCTCAGGAAGCATGCGATATCTCTAATACCCCTCTCCCCCCAGTTAGCATATATTAGTTTGTATTGTTTAGTTTTGGGTCTCTGTTAAATGTATTACCTCACCAGGTTGTAAGTGCCTTTAAATATCTTACTCAACTCTATCCCCAGGTTCTAGCAGATTTTTATACATATCGGTGTTAATATTTTGAAATAAAGTTACTTACCCATTTGGTCTGTGTTTTAGATAACTAGTTTGAGGTTCATCATGGTCTAATTCATGTTAGATTTTATCTTTTGAGTAATAAGAACTAACATCTCTTAATCACTTTGTGCTGGCACTTTTAAGTGCTTTATATGTTTTTTCACTTAATTTTCATAACAGTCATATGAGGTGTAGGTACTGTTAACTTCTGTAAATATCCCAGTTATACAGTTGTGGAAACTGAAGTACAAAGAGGTTAAGTAACCTTGCAACAAAGCTAATAAGTGAGAGAGACAAGATTTTAACTCAGGTGGTTTAACTCTAGAGCTTGCACTTTAAACAAATATGCCAAATTGCCTCTTTAATGGAAATCACATTAAGTGATTCAAGTTCTGTTATGGGAGCAAGGGTTATACCTGTTTAAAGAGCCCCCCACCCCGCCCCCCAAGAAATTGGAGATTATAGACTTTTCCCCCATCTAATTTTCAGTTTGCAAACCACTGGGAATTTGTCTTTGTGTCATTGGACACTCTACAGTGTTGTGGAGAACTTACTGCTCACAACCAGGAGCATTCCATGGATGCTTTTGTTGAATGATGCCTTATTCTCTAACCGTACACTAACCAAAGACCCTTAGACATATATTTCATAGTTTTTAAAGTTGTCTTCTCTTTCTGCTGTAGGCGGATAAGTTGCTGTCACAGGATTTTGTACAGATAATGGAGGACATTATTCTCACGCTACCTAAAAACAGGCAGATTTTACTATATTCCGCTACTTTCCCTCTTAGTGTACAGAAGTTCATGGTGAGTATAAATCTGTACTTGGAATCAGTGCGATTCTCTTTCCTATGATACTGATATTCCTGTGATACTGATAATAAACTGGTAGTTGCTGACTTCCCAACAGGGTTCCATTCCAATGACTCCATTGTAAGTCAGTTCTGAGTCAGATACCTCTTTTTTTTTTTTTTTTAGTTTTCATTATTATTGCCTTTTATTATCAGTGTCTTTATAAATCCAATCATTGTCTTTGGGGGTTGGGAGCATTACATATAAACTTATTAACAGTGTGTGTAGTACATACTACTAACGATAAGATGTACCACAAAAAAAAAAAAACCCTGTACAGTTATAAGTGTGATTCATCGTAACTGGAATATGCATTAAGTCAAGGACTACCTGTATACTTTATACTGATTATTTCAAGTTTGGACTTTTTCTTCAGCTGATAAATTAAAATTTTTGTGAATAAATCAAGTAATTTTTTAAAAAAGCTTTAACAATACTTTGACTAAATTCTTCATTGTTCGCTAGCTTTTCTTGTCAGGCTGACATAGCCATTGATACCAGATAAATTGATTATGGCATAAATCCTGTGTACAAAGTACAACATATTTTTGCTACATACCTGAATCTGAGATCTCCCATCTTATGCTAATTTATTTCTTCCATGACTTATATATACTTGCTTTGAAGATTAATGCATTCTTCATAGCAAGCATTAACCAGACAAAAACATATATATTTTGAATTTAAGAGATACACTCTGTTTTCATTTAAGTATAAGACTCCTCTTTTTTCAGAATTCCCATTTGCAAAAACCCTATGAGATTAACCTGATGGAGGAACTAACTCTGAAGGGAGTAACCCAGTACTACGCATATGTAACTGAGCGCCAAAAAGTACACTGCCTCAACACACTTTTTTCCAGGGTAAGTAATAGGCTTCACAGCTGCTGAATATTATCCATCTCTTAATCCCAGTAAAACAGACATTTGTATCAATTTTCCCACCATCTTCACTGTAAAAAAGTCAGCTTTTTGTAAAAGGCCGTTTCAGTTGTTCATCTGAAGTTGATAGGGTATGATTGACAAGTCACAGGCACTTCTAATTAGATTCTGAAATAATTTGACCTTTATCATTTTACTAGTGTTGGCAGTTATGTGACCTTTATGAAATGTGATGAAACTTATAAATTATTATCTGCAAATGATAAGTAAAAGAAAAACATTCACAACTTTTCGCATCTCTCTTGTATCATGAAATTGTAAGTTTTAGACCATGTTTTTAAAGTTTGTTTGCTAGTCAGTATTTTCAAGATTTGGCCAACTAAATGAAGGTTTTTGTTTTTCTTTCACATGCCTGTTTTTCTTGTGTTCAGCTTCAGATAAACCAGTCGATCATTTTCTGCAACTCCTCTCAGCGAGTTGAATTGCTAGCCAAGAAGATTTCCCAACTGGGTTATTCTTGCTTCTATATCCATGCTAAAATGAGGCAGGTGAGTGTGAAAGTAGAACTTGTACAGATTTTAAAAAAAAACTTTCTGGTTATTTCTTGGGTTCTGTTTCATTTTAGTGCTTCTCCAAATGCCCTGAATTTAAGAATTAACTATTCCTTAATAGCCAAAGGACCCTTCATTTTAACCTTACTGAGGTTCAGTGTTCTAATCTGTAAAATAGAGATAATAATATATGCTCATAACTCAAATGGTTGTCAGGAACATTGAGGTAATATAAATGAATTCTTTCGTACACTATCAAGCATGATATAAATGCCGGATTTTGGTCTTCCCTTCCAGAGGATCTCTAGATTTACACTGTTTAATATGATAGCCACTAGCCATATGTGACAACAGATTCGGTTCCTCAGTCATACTAAGCCACATTGCAAGTGCTCAGTCACACATACGGCTAGTGGCTCCTGTATTGAAAAGTGCAGATACAGAACAATTTTCCATCGTCGCAGAAAGTTCTATAGAAAAAAATTCAAAAGTAACAAGATAACATTTTTTGTTGAGCTAACTACAACATTGTGAAATTTCAGTTAGAAAGCGATGTCTGTAGACTAAGATTAAAAACTTGAAAATTAATCAGTTGTCATTTGGTTTTGAAAGAAGCTTAATAGAGCAGATACTCCTGTATAGGAGCCTAGTATTAGAAATTTTCACAGAAAATAAATGTATTAAGCTCAAGAAAGTACTACAGAATGGAAGAAAGTTGCTTTCAAACAAAAGATCACTTTGCCAGATCTTAGATTTATCGCCTCAGGCAAGAGTCCTAGAGTAAGTGTGTATATCTTTTTGCTTTTTAATTGGAAAGTTGTTTCTTTAGCTTTTTTATGTAATATCTAAAAAGGTTATTGGTAAATGTTTTAGTCAAGCCAAACATTCCTGTTTGAAACTAAGATGTAGACAAAACCTGTTGCTGTTGAGTTGATTCCGACTCCTAGCGACCCTGTAGGGTTTCCAAGGAGCGCCTGGTGGATTTGAACTGCCGAGCAGCTGAACACTTAACCACTGTGCCACCAGAGTAGGTATACCTACACATGGTGAAAACTGCTGTTTAAAATTCACACCAGCAAATAAACATCTTTAAGAGTTAAGATAAGTAAGTGCTGTGTACAGGAACGTATAAATATATATTAATTGCTATTAATTTCCATGGGAAACTAATTTTATGGTTAATTATTTTCACCTTTCGTTTTTCATTTATGTGTCTGAGATTGACTCATTTGTGTAAAAACAATTTTTGAGTATAAAGAACTGATTGGATAGGAGAAACAATGGAAAATTTTAAGCAGTGTTTTTCAGTTTTAATCAAATTGAATGCATCTGATTTTTCCTAGGAACATCGAAATCGTGTATTTCATGATTTCCGAAATGGCTTATGCCGAAATCTTGTTTGCACTGGTAAGTATTTTGTGTTTCCTTTACCCATTTTTTTCCTCCCTAGCTCTCTACTTTGCTTTCTTGGTCCCTATCACACAGTGCAGCTTATGGCATAGTCCAGCCCATTCTACCACTATTGCCATAATTTCTGAAGTTGAGAATGAATTCTGGTTAATTCTTATAATTAGTTCCGTATCAGAAGCTGTAGAAGACCTGTTCTGGTACTCAAACCTCATCTCTGCCTTTATAAAACCAGTTTTGAGTGCTGGAGGTCCTAGCCAGAGCAGTTAGGCTAGAAAAAGAAATAAAGGGCATCCAAATTGGTAAGGAAGAAATCAGAGTATCTCTATTTGCAGATGATATGATCTTATACACAGAAAACTAGAAAGAATTCACAAGAAAACTACTGGAACTATTAGAAGACTTCAGCTAAGTATCAGGATACAGGATAAACTTAGAAAAATCAGTTGGTTTCCTCTATACCAACAAAGAGAACTTCGAAGAGGAAGTCACCAAATCAATACCATTTACAATAGCCCACAAGAGATAAAATACTTAGGAATAAATCTAACCAGAGATGTAAAAGACCTATACAAAGAAAACTACAAGACACTACTGCAGGAAACCAAAAAGGACCTACATAAGTGGAAAAACATACCTTGCTCATGGGTAGGAGGACTCAACATTGTGAAAATGTCTGTTCTACCCAAAGTGATCTACAGATACAGTGCAATCCCAATCCAGATTCCAGTGGCATTTTTTAATGAGCTAGAGAAACAAATCAACTTCATATGGAAAGGGAAGAGGCCCAGATAAGTAAAGCAGTACTGAAGAACAACAACAAAGTGGGAAGCCTCACACTACCTGATTTTAGAACCTATTGTACTGCCACAGTAGTCAGAACATCCTGGTACAGGTACAACAACAGATACCTAGACCAATGGAACAGAATCGAGAATCCAGACGTAAATTCATCCACCTGTGAGCAGCTGATATTTGACAAAGGCCCAAAGTCCGTTAAATGGGGAAAAGACAGTCTCTTTAACAAATGGTGCTGACATAACTGGATATCCATCTGTAAAAAAATTGAAACAACTCGTACCTCACACCATGCACAAAAACTAACTCAGAATGAATCAAAGGCCTAAATACAAAATCTAAAACAAGATAATGGAAGGCAAAATGGGGACAACTTTAGGAGCCCTAACACATGGCATAAACAGAATACAAACCATAAGTAACAATGCACAGACACCAAAAGAGAAACTAAATAACTGGGAGCTCCTAAAAATCAAACACTTATTCTCTTCAAAAGACAACCACTGGGAAAAAAATTTTGGCTACGACAAATCTGACAAGCGTCTAATCTCTGAAATCTATAAGATAACTGCAAAACCTCAACAACCAAAAGACAAATGACCCAATTAAAAAATGGGCAAAGGATATGAACAGGCACTTCACCAAAGAAGACATTCAGGCAGCTACTAGATACATGAGGAAATGCTCACAATCATTAGCTATTAGAGAAATGTAAATCAAAACTACAATGAGATACCATCTCACCCCAACAAGGCTAGCATTAATCCAAAAAACAGAAAATAATAAATGTTGGAGAGGTTGCGGAGAGACTGGAACACTTACATACTGTTGGTGGGAATGTAGAATGGTACAGCCACTCTGGAAATCGATTTGGTGCTTCCTTAAAAAGCTAGAAATAGAAGTACCATACGATCCAGCAATCCCCACTCCTTGGAATATATCCTAGAGAAATAAGAAATCACGTGAGTAGATATATGCACATCCATGTTCATTGCGGCACTGTTCACAATAGCAAAAAGATGGAAACAACGTAGGTGCCTATTGACGGACAAATGGATAAACAAATTATGGTATATTCACACAATGGAATACTACACAATGAAGAATAGCGATGAATCTGTGAAACATCTAACATGGATGAGTCTGGAAGTTGTCATGCTGAGTGAAATCAGTCAGTTGCAAAAGGACAAATATTGTATAAGACTGCTATTGTAAGAACTCAAGAAAAGGTTTAAACACAGAAGAAAACATTCTTTGATGGTTAAGAGGGAGGGAGGAGGGTATTCACTGGCTAGATAGTAGATAAGAATTACTTAGGTGAAGGGAAGGATGGCACACACTACAGGGGAAGTCAGCACAACTGGACTAAACCAAAAGCTAAGTTTCCTGAATACAACCAAACACTTCAAGGGACAGAGTAGTAGGGATGGAGGTTTGGGGACCATGGTTTCAGGGGACATCTAGGTTAACTGGCATAACAAAGTTTATTAAGAAAATGTTCTGCATCCTATTTTGGTGAGTGGTGTCTGGGGTCTTAAAGGCTAGTGAGCAGCCATCTAAGATGCATCGATTGATCCCAACCCACCTGGAGTAAAGGAGAATGAAGAACACCAAAGACACAAGGAAGGGCCACATAAACCAGAAACTGCCTCAGCCTGAAACCAGAAGAACTAGGTGGTGCCCGGCTACCATCAGTGACCGCCCTGACGGAGCCCAACAGAGAGTCCCTGATGGAGCAGGAGAAAAGTGGGGTACAGAACTCAAATTCTAGTAAAAAGACCAGATTTAATGATTTGACTGAGACTGGAGGGACCCCAGAGGACATGGCCCCTGGACTCTCTTAGCCCAAAACTGAAACCATTCCAGAAGCCAGCTCTTCAGACAAAGATTAGACTGGACTATAAGACATAAAATGATACTCGTGAAGAGAGTGCGTCTTAGCTCAAGTAGATACATGAGACTAAATGGGCAGCTTTTGCCCAGAGGCGAGATGAGACGGCAGAAAGGGACAGGAGCTGGTTGAATGCACACAGGAAATCTGGGGTGGAAAGGAAGAGTGTGCTGTCACATTATAGGGAGAGTAACTAGGGTCACATAGCGATGTGCATATAAATTTTTGTGTGAGAAACTAACTTGAACTGTAAACTTTCACTTAAAGCATAATTTAAAAAAAAAAGTTTTCAGATTTTTATACTTTCTGAATAGTTCTAGCGTGTAAGAATGAGCCAACAAAAAATGAGTAGTATTAAGGAACTGCTTATGTTTTGAAAATTGTTTATTGTAGCCTTTGAATTTTTTTCCCAGAAGCAGATGGGTCTGTAATTTTGGTTCATTTTACTACATGCAGAAAGACAAACTGGGGAGGTGGAGAGGCAGGTGGACACTCAGATCAGACAGACCTCATGAATTCAGTACCCTCCTATCTCTGTCACCAGTAAAACCAGTTGCTGTCAAGTCGATCATGGCAACCCCATGTGTGTCAGAGTAGAACTGTGTTCCATAGGGTTTTCAGTGGCCGAGCTTTTGAAAGCAGATCAACAGGCCTTTTTTTTGAGACACCTCTGGGTGAAATTGAATCTCCAACTTTTTGGTTAGCAGCCGAGCACACTAACCATTTGCACCACCCAGAGACTCCCTAACCTCTACATTGGGGATGTAATGTTAGTTATTAATAATCTAGGCTTCTGAGTAAAGAGAAAAACATAATTTTTTAAAAATTAATTTGTGATATGTATACAAATATACTGTTCTTAAGTATATTGTTGATAAATTTTTGCGTATACCATCACTTAGATCAAGATTTAAAATATTTCACCACCTGAATTTTTTAAAGAGGCTTCTGTAGAAATAAACTCCATATTTTTTCTAGCAGAATATTAATTCGCTAATTTACAAGAATCACCCAAGAAAAAGGCTGTAAAGTATCTTGCATAATACTTCTACTAGTTTGTCTTACATCTTAAAGAGCAGTTAATATAACTGCGTTAGCATATTTATGTTTATCAACAGACCTGACTTTTAAGCATATTGAAATACTCAAAATACTAAATGTCTGTGATTTAGTGGGAAGGATATTAGATTCCTAGAGTTTTAAGCATAGGGTCCAAGTCATAACTTTTTTTTTTTAAAGTAATTTTATTTATTTTGTTTTTGTTGAAAATATACACAACAAAACAAAAACCAATTCAGCAGTTTCTACACATACCATTTAGTGACATTGATTATATCCTTCAAGTTGTATAACCATTGTCACCCTCCTTTTCTGAGTTGTTCCTCCCCTATTAACAGAAATTCACTGTCCTCTAAGGTCTGAGTCCTAACATTTTTTGACCTCTAATCATATGACCCTGGGCAAGTAGTGTTCTCTTTTTTTTAGCTCATTTCTTACAGCTCATTCAGGTAGATGAATGATCAGGTGCCTGCCAACATTTTTGTAAAGGACCAGATAGTAAATAGTTTAGATTTTGTGCACCGTACAGTCTCTGTTGCAGGTGTCCCGCTCTGCCAGTTGTAGTTCATAAGCAGCCTTGGATAATGGCTGGGCATGGCTGTATTGCAGTAAAACTTTATTTGCAGTAACAGGTGTTGGGCTGGATCCAACAAAGGGAGTAAAGTAACTTGTATATGAGAGGTATGAATAGTATCTTAAGTATTCAGAGGAGTGGCTGAGGTGATCTGAGAAGAGATGGGATTTTAACTTGGCTTAAAAGCTAGATGAGTTTCATATGGAGTCCCTGGGTGGTGCCAAGGATGCTAACTGAAAAGTTGGAGGTTCAAGTCTACCCAGAAGTGCCTCAGAAGAAAGGCCTAGTGATCTAATTCCAAAAGATCAGCCGTTGAAAACTCTTGGAGCACAGTTCTACTCTGACACACATGCAGTCATCATAAGTTGGAATCAGCTTGACAGCAGTGAGTTGTTTTTTAAGTTTCATACATATGGAAGAAGGCATTTTAAGTTAGGGGACCAGAATAAAAAATGGTCCAGAGAGAGATCTGTTTAAGGAAGGACGAGTAGACAAGTTTTGTGGAAGTGGAAGGTTTGAGGAGATGTGTTAGGTAACTTAGGACCAAATTATAGAGTGGAGGACCTTGAATGTCAGATTTTATCTGGAGGTAATTTAAAATAATGTTACAAATTCAGAGTAGTGTTTGAGAAGTATTAGTGCGACCATGATGCATTATCTTGGAGTGAGGAGGTGTTAAAAGCAAGGAAACTTAGTTATTAGCCTGTTATAGTTGTTTTTACTTGGTAGTTTTAAGAGCCTAAACTAGCACAGTATTTGTGGGAATAGAGTAGAAGAGAGAGGATGACCATGCATCTCAGCTCACCTCACACCTGTTATAAGTCCTTCTGCAGAATGGAATGAATAATTTCTAAATAAAGCATTCATACTGCTGGTGAATTATCTCTTCTTTTTGAGATATTCTAGGTTTATACAACAAACTTTTTTTTTAATAATCATTTTAATCTTGGATTAAATACTAGAAAATAGACTAAAGAAAACTACTCGTTACTTCTGAGACTCATTTATGAGTTCGTTATAATTTACCAGTCATCGTGATCTCTTCTGTATTTGCACAATTACCCTATACCATTTTTAAAAACTTGTTTACAGGACTGGGAAAGGGTATCTTATGAGCAGAAAGTTAATTTGTGATAATGTGCATGAAAGTTAATGCCAGTAGTTTGCAAATGCATTGAATAACTGAATGAGATGAATAAACTTAGGTTACACAAGAAATGTGTTAAGAGTATTATGATACTAAGAGGCATGTTTTTGAAAGATACAATGGAAAGTATCTTTTTTTTTTTTAGATCTGTTTACCCGAGGTATTGATATACAAGCTGTGAATGTGGTGATAAACTTTGACTTCCCAAAGCTGGCAGAGACCTATCTCCATCGAATTGGAAGATCAGGTGAGGATAAGGAAGGAGATGTTCTTCATGGAAGCTGTTTTTGAGAAGTATAATAACTAAATTTTGTTCCTTTGTGAAGTAGAGTGTGGTAGCAATGAGAAGAGTGAATTGGAACTAGTTCAGTTGTTTGGTACTGAAGATAAATTAATTCCTAATTCTTCTAGAACATTTAAGAAAAAATAACTTTATCAGGTTCTTAATTTGAGATAAAACTAACATATGAGAACCTAACTTTATTAATTAAGTGCTGCAGTCTGTAACTCTACTGCTTAGGGTCTATTTTGGCAACTTTGATGCAAATGAGCATCCAGTTTGTCATTTGAAAAAGGTGATGTAGAAGTACTACTTTGGTCTGTGAAACTGAAGTTTTAGGGTAATGTGTGTGGAAGGAGACTATAGAAGTGATTTCATGTACTTAGAATAGCACTGAACGGAAATATTGATCTTGTATAGTTCTGCTAATTATAGACTTGCACATTCATTTTCATATTTAACTTCTTTTTTTTTCTAATCAATTATCTTTATTTTGGTTAGGTCGCTTTGGTCACCTTGGCTTAGCCATCAACTTGATCACATATGATGATCGCTTCAACCTGAAAAGTATTGAGGAGCAGCTGGGAACAGAAATTAAACCTATCCCAAGCAACATTGACAAGAGCCTGTACGTGGCAGAATACCACAGCGAGCCTGTAGAAGATGAGAAACCTTAACAAGCATGTGCGTACCTGACAATATCCAAGTGAGCAGAATGTTTAAAAAAAGGCAAGATAATAAGATCCACTCTTTCATGGAGGAAATTTGGTGTTCCACCATGTAATAGCACTATAGGGTAAAACACCTTTTGGCAAAAATGACAGTAAATAGAGATAGCTCTTAAGTGAGGTTTAGTCTCCTTAGAAAATCTATAAATGCTGTTCTTGAATGCATTCTCCCTGAGTAATGTGAGCATTACTTAAGATAAACTCCCAAAATAATGAAAGCAAAATAAGAATCTTTTTCAGCGAGTTTCAATGTGAAAATACGTTCTGCTCTTCCATTTTCCTTTATTACTCAAATTTTTATCGTTCATTCTTAGTTTCTAATGGGTACACTAATAAGCAGGTAAAGTTAGCTGTATTACCTTATTACCAACTATATAGTCAGGTTATGAGGATAACTTACTGTCTTTTTAAAATGCCGACTCTGCTTTCCTGCACAGCCGTCTCATTTCATCTTTCAGTACTTGGTGACTATTAGGCTCTGGTGAAATGGTTAAAACAAAGCTCAGCAGGAAAGAATGTAGGCTATTTCAGAGGTTTTTCTAAGGAAAATCTGATTTAATTTGCAAGGTGATAGTTTCCAAATTAGCGATGAACATTTTACCAATTATTGTTGCTCAAAAACTTATTTTAAATTATTGTCTTCATTTCAACTTTTTTCTGTAATTTAAGTGCAAAACATAAAACCCTCAAACATAAAAACTAGCTAGTTTAGAAATTTGATATAATTGTTATTGATGAGTGCTGCGAATCAGTAGAACTTTCGGGCTTTTATTCCATCTCTGGGATGCTTGGCAAAACTCCTTAATATCTTAATTGTTGGATTCTGCAGTAGGCAAAGGCTTAGTAGAAACTACTGGCAAGAACATTTTTTGTGGACTTGAGAGGTTGTGAAAACCTATGTATTCTAGTTTGTATTGCTTTCACAAGTGTTAATTTTAGGTTTCTTCCCTCCTTTAGGCTTTGAAAACTACAGAAGGCCCGCTTGGATCTGTGACACGTTGTTTTGGGGGGAATGCTCTTCTCTTTGTGGGTTTTTCATCTTATTTTAGAACTATGAAGACTAAAAAAGAGCTCTGACTTTTTTTTTATTTTTTTATTTTTTTGTCTTTTTTTAACTGGTGAAGAGAGAAAAGCTGAAAAGAAGGAATATACCTTTTTTGTTCCACTTGTTTGCACTGTGTGCTGACTGAACATTAGTTGCACTAACTGCTGGTTTAAAAAAATTTTTTCTGGGGGAGGGGGACAAGGAAGGAGGAGAAAGAAGAGAAGGGGAGAAACCCTGAAAAGAGAAGAATCTTGATGAACACACAAGCTTGTCTACAGTTTCAAAATTCTCCAACAGCTGACTTCCAAGTGCATTTCAACTTCTCCCTGATTACTCATCCGTTTTTTAAGCCTGAAGAGCTTATTACTTATTTGTGCGAAGTGCCTTATGCTATGAGACCATTCAGAGTATCATCTTTCAGACACAGCCCAAGGAATCAACAATAGTAATTCTTTCTTTCCTTTTTTCTTTTTAATTTTTGTCTTTTCATTTTGGTTTCAAGTTGAAGTCTCTCTCTTCCCTTTCTACATGAGTACTGAAGCCCAGGGCTGGAAGATGAAACATACTAGTAATGTTGAACACCTTTTCTTTTTCTTTACGTGGAGGAGTTGATATGCAGCTGCAGATCATCCGCACTGTAAATACATGTATTTAAAAAAAAAAAATCCCAAGTAAAAATTTCTTCTGGGCTGCGTAGATACAACATTATCGCTCCCAAAGGAAAGAGCAGTCTATCATTGCAGGAGCCATATGACAAGCCTTTGTGCTCTATAGCAGAACACTAAAGACTGGTTTACATACGCCTCCATTAGCAGTTATGGCACTTGATGTGTAGACATGTCAGAGCGTTGACCCTCTTTCCTCTGTGGCAAAGCGTGTCCCATAGAAAAAATTGAGTGTGTATACTTGTATAAACTTTGTAAATAAGTTTTTTTTCTGGGTTCATATATATATATATACATATATTTTTTTTTTTTTCTTGGATGAAGGTTGCTGGGATTAAGGGGATTAGAGTGATTATGGGAGCAGCTAAAGATGAGAGGGGCTCAGTTTTCCGCAACACTAAATTCTAAAAGTACTTTGGCCTTTTGCTGTAGAGAGCAGACCTCTACGGGGATTTTGTATTGGAAAAGGGACCCAGAAGTCTGGGATTCAATGTTTGCTGCCACACTGTTTCATCTAGTACCTTCGGAGGAGGCCTACCAGAGAGAGCAAGGGAGCTTCAAAAATCTATAATTCAAGATGTTATTTTGAGAAGCTGATTTTGCTCCTTCCCTTTTTTTAAAATTTGAAAAACTTCTCAAGCTCTGCAAAAGGGGGCAAAGTTAACCTTCCTTGCAATGTGGGGATTCTGTTGGGTGACACGTATATGTATAAAGCATGGATTTGCATTTCAGAATATTAGCCAGTACCAGCTGTGGTAACATCAGCAGTTCTGGAGCTAACTCTCTGTGGATCATTTCCTGTAGTGTGTAAATGTGTTGCCCTCTGCCGACCTTGATACGTCAACTCTTGCGGGAATGGGCAACCTGAGAGCTGTTAACTTGAACGCTACAGAAAGCTGCTTGCCATCCTCCTTGTGACAAGACGTTGCCTGTCATTTCGCATTGTAAATTGCTGGCAAATGCTTTACAGTCAATAGTGTTGCTTTAAATTGTGCCCCTCCCAACATGCTTGATGTTTGGCCTGATCTCCAGGCAAAAGGAGTGAGATGAATCAACCAGTGAACTTTTTTTTTTTTAAATGTTTTTAATTTCCTTTTAACCCAGTGTACTAGGTCAATCAGGAGGCATCTAGAAGAAAAAAAGGAAAAAACAAACTTAAAATTTTTTTTTATTTTCATATTCCATTGTTTTTCAAAACCTTAAAATACTACATGGTAAGTCCTGCATATGCTTTCATGCTTAATTCATCTGGATAAAGACATAAATTATTTGAAGTTGCTTTTTCACTCTGCCTAGTTCTAAGTGAAACTATTTGTGACTCATCCAGAATTCCTTAAGGATCAAAATCCTGCAGATGCCTCCTGATTAGACATAGCCCTAATTCTTTACCAACTGTAGCAAGAGCTGCACAGTACAAACTCAAAAAAGAGCAAGTTGATTTATTTGGAATCCAAGCCCCGTATGTGCTATCCAGTCAATGTTGGTTACCAAATGCAAACCCTAATTAAGGAAGTAACTTTTTTCCAAGAAGGGGTGGGGGGAGGGAATTTAAAAGGCATCAGGTTTTGACCAAAAAGTCTTGCCGTTGTACTGATGCAGCTCTTTTCCCTTCATCTCTGGGGAGATAAGAGGGATCTTTCATTATAAAAGAAAAACAAGATATGTAATTTTGTATCTCGCTGGAGAGTGTGTGGGTGACTAAACAGCACAGTCTCCTTTGTCAGCCTTGGACTGTGCTCTGCCTGGTGCCACATGCCTGTGGGTCCCTCTTAAAGCACAGACTTAAAATGGAAGGTATTACTGAAGTAAAGCCTCTGATGAGGAGTGGCACTTAAACTATCTGGGGCACCACTATTGGACAGACACAGTCTTAATAGAGGCAGCTGTCCAGTTCTGGTGCTTGACCCTTGAATAGGAATTGTTAAATGGAAAGATGCTCTAAGGACTAGGTCAAAGCCTGGTCTTTTTTTGTTTTGTTTTTTTAAATCCCACCCTCACAATGAGGAGCATTGTTACTATTGCAAATTGTTTTCTGGGTTTTTCCCCAATATTGGATTTTTTAAAAGCAATGCTAATATTTTTCCAGTGGTTTATTTGGATGAGAACCAGCCCCTATTTTTAATATTTAAACTACGTCCAACTCTTGCTTTGGCCAGTGGTTATTTCGTTGTGTAATGGGTTATGAACTGTTACACACTTATCACCTCTTGGCTTATGTTTTGCCTTTCCCCAGAAGTTCCAATGGGGAAGGAAGGTTTCTTGCCTTTACCTTAAGAATGGAATAAATTGATTCTAAGATGATCTTTTATGGAAAGAAGTAAGGGAGAGGAAACCTAAATGTGTCTAAATTATTTTCAAGTAAGTTCCAGCAGCATCATATGGGTTGGCCCCAAAATTTTTTTTTTTTTTCCTGCGGGGGTTGGGGGTGGGTTGGTTATCAACACTTGTTTTCAGAATGAGATGGGAGCATCTTTCCTTTGCCATGTGCTTTGTGTGTGATACCATCGTGCTTGGGTTAAAACCAGACAACACAAAGCTTTGAGTAAATTCGTTGGAATCAAAACATCTCATTCTGATCACTTGGTTTTTTTTTTTTTTTCTTTTTTTTTTTAAGTAGGGGTGGGAGGGGGAGGGTACTGTGCCCCAAAAGGGAGGGTGTCTGCAGTAAGGATTTAGAAACACTTTGGAAGCTCATAACCTCATCAGAAACTGCCTTTAGCCACACTCTTGACCTTACAGATGAGTAGCAAAAAGATGAAATAAGTTCTCCTTTGGAATTAAGCCCTGTTATTTTAATTTGCTACTTTTTCCAATATTACATCTTAAAAGTTGTTACGGAATCATTTTCTGGCAAAATGCCTTTGTCAAGCAAAACTATTGGCCTCATGGGACCTGAAGTAAACAGCTTTTTGGTAAATGTAAATGGACTTTGGTGAGCTCGGAGTTCTACTTTATCCTTAAAGGTATTTTTTTTTAAACTCCCAAAGAAAATCCACTCTCCTTTCTGATCTAAAAACTCATCTTCAGGGTAAAGAGTAAGTGTCCAAAGGGTATAGCAGTTCATGAGGTCAGAGGGAGCTAGCCTGGCACCTGGACTCTGCCCCTCCACAGCTGACAGATTCCAACAGAAGTGTATTTAAATTCTCCAGTAGACAATGCTGGGCAGGGCAAGGGAGGGGGTAGGGTTGGGTTATTAAGATACAGGTTACTTGTATCTTGACCAGTGGTGGTTGGGGAGGGGTTCCTGGAGAAAACAAAGTCACTGTTCCCTTTACTGAAACAAAACAAGCTTGAAAAAAATTATTTTTTTGTTCAGTGAAAATGGGAGAGAATTCCAATGTCCCTAGCCACAAGGGACCAGTTCCACTGAGAAGTGAGCAGTGGGAACTCAAAAATTTGAAAACATTTGGGGAAGGGGGAAATTGGCTTTATGTTAATTGGCAGATGTTCCAGTGGGGTTCTGTTTTTTGTTGGGATGTGTTGTATGTACACGTATATGGACCAGAGTCTTCACTGAGTATACGGTTCAGAAAAGATGGTTGGTAAAATCTCGATTTTTGTTAATTTATCTCAATAAAAGCCCACTGGAACTCCAAATATGTGTGTGGTATGTCTCTAGCAGCAAGCTGTGCTGTTCAGGAATCCCTGCATTTTATTAAAGTAACTCACATTTAAAGCAGTGAAGCAGTTAGACATTCTCAGTACTACTTTGAGCCCAGTTGAATAAATTCTGAGATGCCTTCATCCCACCTAGACTTTGTCCTGCCATGCACATTTCACCTTAAGTCAGTTTTAATAGCCTAAATAGGGAACTAAGATAATTTGCTGGAAAGGAGAGAATTGGTCCACAATATATCCGGAAGGGATTATCAGAGGTCACCACCTTCCGTAAGAGTTGTTCTCAGGTGTTCTTTCAGAAAGCTGAACACGTGCACAAAACTACTTAGGAGTAAAACTGACAACGTGAACAGAATTTGGAATGTGAACAGAATTTGAATGGTAATGAAAGAAATCAGAGTCAAACGCTTAAGAAAGCTGAACACACCACCCTCGCTCCCCTCTAAAGGAAATTTAAATATGCAAGATCTACATGCTGAGCCATCACTTGTCAGTTTGTCGCACTGCAGTGGCTTGCATACAGATGTAATAATGCCGGAAGTGCTTACTTGTCTGTACCAAGAAATCTGAAAGCACCTGGCCAACCAACTGGAAGAGGTCCATACTTGTGCCTGTTCCAAAGATGATCCAACAGAATGCAGAGATTACTGAATAATACCATTAATATCACACCGGTGAAATTTTGCTGAAGATCATTCAAAAGCAATCGCAGCAGTACATTGATAGTGAACTGCCAGAAATTTCAAGCCAGATTCAGAAAAGAACATGGAGTGAGGGATATCATTGCTGATGTTGGAGCTTTGCTGAAAGCAGAGAATACTATAAAGATGTTTACATGTGTTTTTTATTGACTGCAAAGGCATTCGACTGTGGATCATAAATTATAGATAACATTGCGAAGAATGGGAATTCCAGAAAATTGTGTTCGTGAGGAACCTGTACATAGACCGAGAGGCAGTCCTTTGAACAGAACAAGGGGATACTGGGTGGATTAAAATCAGGAAACTTGTGCATCAGGGTTGTAGCCTTTCACCATACTTATTCAGTCTATAGCTGAGCAAGTAATCCAAGAAGCTGGGCTATGTGAAGAAGAATGCGGCATCAGGACTGGAGGAAGGCTAACAACCTGCGATATGCAGATGACCCAACATTGCTTGCTAAAAGTGAAGAGGACTTGAAGCACTTACTGATGAAGATCAAAGACTACAGCCTTCAGTATGGATTACACCTCAACATAAACATCCTCACAACTGGATCAATAAGCAACATTATGATAGAGAAAAGATTGAAGTTGTCAAGGATTTCATTTTACTTGAATCTACAATGTGTGCCCATGGAAGCAAGTCAAGAAATCAAACGACCTTATAACATGGAGTAATCTGGAAGGCATTGTGCTGAGTGAATTAGTCGCAAAAGAACAAATATTATATAAGACCACTATTATAAGAACTCAAGAAAAGGTTTAAACACAAAACATTCTTTGATGGTTACAAGGGTGGGGAGGGAGACGGGTATTCACTAGATAGTAGACAAGAATTAGGTGAAAGGAAGGACAGCACACACTACAGGGGAAGTCAGCATAACTGGACTAAACCGAAAGCTAACGAATTTCCTGAACACAACCAAACACTTTGAGGGACAGAGTAGTAGGGGCGGAGGTCTGGGGACCATGGTTTCAGGGGACATCTAGGTCAATTGGCATAACAAAGTTTATTAAGAAAATGTTCTGCATCCTATTTTGGTGAGTGGCGTCTGGGGTCTTAAAAAAGCTAGTGAGCGGCCATCTAAGATGCATCAATTGATCCCAACCCACCTGGAGCAAAGGAGAGCGAAGAACACCGAAGACAAGGAAAATATTAGCCCAAGACAGGGCCACATAAACCAGAGACTGCATCAGCCTGAGATCAGAAGAACTAGATGGTGCCTAGCTACAACCAATGACCACCCTGACAGGGAAAACAACAGAGAGTCCCTGAAGGAGCAGGAGAAAAGTGGGGTGCAGAACTCAAATTTTGGTAAAAAGATCAGACTTAATGGTTTGATTGAGACTGGAGGGACCCCAGAAGACATGACCCGCAGACTCTCTGTTAGCCCAAAACTAAAACCATTCCCGAGGCCAACTCTTCAGACAAAGATCAGACTGGACTATGGGACATAAAATAATATTCATGAAGAGTGTACTTCTTAGCTCAAGTCCTGTCCAGAAGTGAGATGAGAAGGCAGAGAGGGTCAGGAGCTGGTTGAATGGACACAGGATGTCAGGGGTGGAAAGGAGGAGTGTGCTGTCACAGTATAGGGAGAGCAACTAGGGCACATAACTATGTATAAATTTTTGTATGAGAGACTAATGAGTTGTAAACTTTCACTTAAAGTACAAGAATAAAATTTTCTTAAAAAATCAAAGGACATATTACATTGGGTAAATCTGTGCAAATGGCGTCTTTAAAGTGTTAAAAAGCAAAGATGTCACTTTGAAGACTAAGGTGCTCCTAACCCAAGCCATGATGTTTTCAGTCACCTCGTATGCATGCAAAAGCTGGACAACGAATAAAGAAGACCGAAGAAGAATCAACATCTTTGAATTATGGTGTTGGCGAAGGATATTGAATATACTGTGGACTTACCAGAAGACCAAACAAATCTGTCTTGGAAGAAGTACAGCCAGAATGCTCCTTAAAAGGGAGGATGGTGATACTTTGTCTTGTGTACTTGGGACACGTTACCAGGAGGGACCAGTCCCTGGAGAAGGACATCATGCTTCCTATAGCAAAGGGTCAGCGAAAAAGAGAAAGACCCTCAGTGAGATGGATTGATACAGTGGCTGCAACAATGGGCTCAAACATAGCAACCGTTGTGAGGATACCACAGGACTGGGCAGTGTTTCTTTCTGTTGTACATAGGGTTGCTGAGTCAGGACTGACTAAATGGCACCAAACAACAACATATGCTGAAAATCAAAACACATGAAAGAAATAGGCCTAAATGGAAAAGTTTTCATGTTCATTCATTGGAAGACAAAATATTAAGGTGTCAGTTCCTCTGATTTGACCTGATGCATTTCCAATAAAAATTCCAGCAGCCTTTTTTCTACAAGCTGATTCTAAAATGTGTATGGAAAGACAAAGTGCCAAAACAATTACGGAAAACAAAATTGGAGGACTCACTACCTAATTTCAAGTTACAGTACTAAAGAAAGTGTAGTATTGACAAAAGAGTAGACACATATCTGTGGAACAGAATAGGGAGCCCAGAAATAGGCCCAAACAAATAGTTGATTTTTGACAAAGATGCAAATGCAGTTTAGTGGAGAAAGGAGACTTCAACAAATGGTGCTGGGATAATTGGATGTCCGTGTGCAAAAACAACCCTATCTATGCCTCACACCTGATACAAAAATTAACTCAAAATGAGTCATAAACCTAAATGTAAAACAAAACTATAACACTTCTAGAAGAAAACATGAGAAAATCCTGCATGACCTTAGTTACATTTGACAGAAAGGTGAACATAATGTTATTGAAGATTGATGAGCAGCTATTAAGCATCTCTTAGGTGAGATATGGAGCATATAGAATAAATAAGTAATGTCTTAGAATAACAGAAATTGAAATTTATTTAGTTCAGATAAATCAAAAATTTAAGTGGGTTGCCCAAGATTTAAAGATTATACATGCTGGAAAATTCAGGTCAGGTAACCTGCCCCCAAATTCAGTTCTTCCACTAAACTGTCTATGAAAAAAATGTAAGGGAACATGTCATCAATCTTCTCATGTAAGAAGCAAAGAGAATGGATGTGAAAATTGCTTAAGATTGCTGTACAGACTGGTCTAGGGTCAATTTTCCTTATAAATGCTGTATTGGAAGGGTATCAGTTCCTACATCTTCAGTTGTATATGCATTAGTCTAGTAATCTACAGAGTTCAGAGTACACCGAGTATCTTGTTTGCCTCTCCAGCTCTGTTCTTTCCTCAGCTTACTGTCTCCAGAGATTGACCCATATGAACCACATTAGCATTTATCCTGCTCTCTGGCATCCATTTGGGTTTGCTTACTAGGGATTCCCCTGCAGGAAATCAGAGGGACAAGAGTGAGGTCAGAGTTTGTATTCCTCTGATTCCCTCCCTGCAAGATAACGCTAGAACTGCTTTGTCCCTGAAAGCAGCTGAGTCTACATGACTCTCTTCCTGCCGTTTCAGGAAAATGTTCCTTTCCCTTGTAAGGATTTCCTACACCCACACTTTGTAAATAGGCCCTACGTAAATAAACTCTCCTCAAACTACCCTATTACAACTGTACCATCTGTTTCTTGTTGGGACTCTGACAGAGTAATTGGTACCAGAGGTGGCCTCAGGAAATAGTCTCTTAAAATGTGAGTTTGGTATTGGGTTAGTCATATATATGATGATCTCAGTGACAACTTCTTATGGGAACTGATAGAGAGGAGACAGAGGACGGGCGTGAGTAATCCATGGCATACAGTGGTGTAACAATTTAAATTTCCACTGGTCAGTACCATGGGAAGAAGTGAAGATAAAGGGCAAGGCACTGGGAGATCAAGCGGCTGTGGCACTTTATTATAGCAAAAATAGGCTCTCAAGTGCATACATAAAAAGAGAAATACAAATTATAATATGCAGTTAACATACAATTTGCTTTCAGTTGGCAGGTCCTACAATACAACTTCATTGTCCTATGTCAGGGCTATCCCTACACCAGAATGTCTACCAATAAGGTAGTTATATACAGCAGTGACTGTGACCTATATAAAAATATTTCGCTAAAGCCGAATTGAATGCATCCCCAATTCAACTTCCCCTTAGATGGATCCCAAAAATGCCCATGCTCATTCCAGGGCCTTAAGGAGAGGTGTAATGAAAGGTGACGAAGAATGGAAAGATACAGCAATCCTAAGATGACTGCAGTTAAGGTACCTTAATTTGTGCAATTTACTGTATGTAAGTTACACCTCGATAAAAGAA